AACCTTTATGTATTTCTATAGTAATTTTTGATGTTGCATACTACCTTGAGCTTCTGCCATATATTTAGGTCCATCTAGTCTTCCATATTTTGTAGCTCAAGAAGTTTTACATTGAACCAAAGTACTTTTTGGACTGACACTAATTACCACTACTACCACCAATAATAATTGATGATCAATACGAATATGAAGTGGACAGTATTTTGGAGTTTTGCTACTTTTGTCATAACCATGGGCATTCACAACTTTAGTACAAAGTTCTTTAGAAAGATTATTCCATCCATGATGCAACATGGAAATCTACACAGAATATCATTCATTGTCAAGGAACCATTTGGAAATACCATTCAAAGTGAAATGAGGACGTTTTACATTATTGCAAGAAAATTAGTTCTAATAGGGTATGGATAGGATATTTGTATTATTTACACATAGAGATATATAAGTAGAGTCATTGTGGAAAATTTCTAGAATTTAGATTAAAATGGTGGTTTATGTGGAATCTATTATGGAACCTTCTAAAAAGATTAAAGGAACCACCATTAAGGACATTCTAAAAAGTTCCAAGATAATTAAATAAAGTATAAATAGAACTAACTAAGGCCATTTGGACATTTGATCAAATATGGTTTTAGACTATTTCACTTAATAAAGTTTGGTTTTCTTATTCCATTCTATTTTATTTTGTTTGATTATCTTTGGTTCTATTTTCTTTTATTCAATCATATCTTTTATGTTCTATTCCATTTACTTATTTTTAATTTTATTTTAGTATGCTTAGTCTTGCATTGTGTTGACATCTTTGTTATTATAGATTTGATAAGGTTTTAGACTTTAGAGTATCCAATCTTATTATACTACTTCTTTTTGATACCAAAATCCTTCTCTAATCCTTTTTCTAATAAATTTTATACAATGTATGCCCTAAACACCAAATAATAGAAACAAAATAAGATTTCAAGAATCATCAATATTTAATAAAGATATTTCTAAATATATAAAATTATTTTTAACATAAAATAAATCTTAATAGTAGCCTTTTTAAACTAAGTATTTCAAAGTAGCAATCTAATCACATTTTGTAAGTAACTAAAATCTAATAATGTGGCTCTTGCCACATTATATAATAAATTATATATATATATATATATATATATGATTATTTTCATCTGATAGCCAAATTACAATACAATATTAAGGTTTCAAATCTATGTATAAATCTACATCCATATAAGCATTTTTAACAAATTTAAAAGTCAAGGCAACAAACCTCTCAAAACTTCAGCTTATGACAAAAAGCAACTAACACTAGTAGAAGAAATAAAAAAAATTAATCAAAAAAATTAAAAATTAAAAAATTAAAAATAATCAAAAATTCAATTAGAACCACAAAATCACTGAGGCTCTTTAAGTAGTTCAAAGAAAAAACCTTGAGATCAAAACACAAAAAAAAGAACCTAGACAAAAACATATGACACAAATCAAGAACATGGAAGAAGCCAAAATAGAAATATAAGATAATTGAAACAATCAAGAGGCCTACCATAAATTGAATGAAGCAGAGCTTTAACTCTAATCCATACAACATTAAAGGCTTGAAAAACATTTTGATAAGCAAGCTGCCAAATGGACAAGAATTGAAGATTGATGCATGAGTGAATTCTTTGACTTCTTTAATTCAAGAAAAAACCATAGAACATCTAAAATCAATAAATTTAATGACAATGACAAAATTTTAACATGCTAAACCAACATAGGATTGTATGTCCAACACTTTCATCTTAAATTCTATAGCAAAGATGAAAGAATTGAAGAGAATATGACATCTAAGAAAGAATGCATTATCCATGTTCCATGACCAGTTATGGCAAGATAAAACAATGAATTGGAAGAAGTAGTAACAAAAAAAGAAATTAGAGAAGAATTCCAATAACTTTGAAAAGATAAGATACTAGGACTAGATATGATCCTAACTGAGTTTTTTTAAGCATGTTGGAATGAATTGAAGGATGACATCATCAAACTAGTCTAAGAGGTTTTTTTCTACATATACTTTGATTTGGCATCTCAACACTAGTAAGATAATCTTCATATCAAAAATTGAAAACTTATCACTTATCAAAAATTATAGACTAATCTCACTTCTAGGAACAATCAATAAAATTATTGCTGAGGCAATAGCAAACAAAATATTAAACCATTTATCTAGATGGAACCACACCTCACAAATATTTTTTTTATTAAAGGACACAACATCTTGTATAATGTGTTATTTGCAACAAAGGATATGGCCTGGGTAGAGAAAATCCAACAAGATTTGTTTCCTATGCTCCTCAATTTTAAAAAAGCATATGATAGAATCAATTGGACATTTTTCTAATAAACTCTATTTATGATAGGATTCTCTACAAGGTAGGTATAGACCATAATGTCACTATATACATAAGCATCTACAACAAAATCATCAACAAATAATCAAAGTAATCAAATTGACTCACTGATTGATTTAGAATAAAGGTATTCATGCAGTGGTGTTGGTTGTCGGAGGTCTTCTTGGCTGCGATTGTTGAAATACCAAGCAATGTGCACTGGAATCAACAATAGTTGGGATGCGAACTCTATTTGGCAGCGACTCTACTACAGCACGACGGTGCCATAGTGTTGTGGATTGTTACCATGGCACCTTCTTCATCTAATCCTTGCTTTATCAAAGGTGGGTCCTCTATTTTATTTTTTTTGTAATTCTCAAGTAATTCTTGGAAAGGCGCTTCTCATGTTCTTTTTTTTAGTTTTTTTCTCTGTCGTAATCTGTGGTCGGACTGTTGGCAACGGAAGTGGATTGTCCTTTGTTATTGGTTGTTGCCTCCAAGCTGCAAATGAACCATAGCTGCCAAGGGTCGCCTGCATTGCATAGAACGGTGTTGGAGGAAGAGGCAGATGCGTGGTTGTTGGTGAAGTTATCACCGAAGTCTATGGCAACTTAAGCTGGTGGAGTGGTAGATTCTATTAGTCCCTAAATTCCATAGATCTTGTCAAGAATTGTGTTATTGGCTATGGTGTCAAACTCTGTTTTTGGAGCGGCCACTAAAATTCTTGTTTTCAACGCTGTCGTCCAACGGAGTAACAAGGGTGCGGTAATGTAAAGCCTCAATTTCTTTCAATTCTAAATTGCTGCTCAACGGGTGTTGTGGCATTAACGCTCAATTCCTCCCTCTACAAACGGTGTTGTGGTGGTGTCATCGTCATGATTCAGAGGACAGCTGCAATTATCAATTTGGCAAGTCCTCATCGAATTTGTGCTAAAAGCGAGTGTTGAGTCTGGTAGTTCAACCATCTAGATCGTGCAATCAATGGTACACAAGGCAACGAGTCCGACGAGGAGCAAGTGGATTTGCAACTAAATTGCTGTTTGTTGTGTGGAAGTTGCTGGGTTATGATTCCTTCTCTAAGAGACTTGCTGCACTTCTCTCTCGATTATATTGGAGGTCTACTATAATTCATGTAGTGCTTAACTCTTGCAACTAGTATTGGTTGGAAAGAGTGGCTAGCATGTTGTGGCTATCGATAGTATGTAGTCTATAGCATAAGTAGAAGACTAGCAGTTGCCTTAGAAGTGGTTGATGAATTAGGTTAAAATTAGATGAAGTTAGGATTGGATAAATAATAATTTTGGATGATATTTCATTCTTGGATGAAAGTTCATTCATAGATGAAAACTCATTTACTGATGATAAATTGTACTTTTATGAAGAATTATTAATGGATGAAAATTACTAAAAAAATATAGAAAGAAATTGTTGATAAATTGAAAACCTAAGATTTATTTACATTGCATGCATGGTTAAGTGTAAGTTGTTTTAGTGAATATGAAGGTAGTTTAACTTAGAAGAGTCTTGTAATTAAAATTAAGAATATTTTCATATAATTAAATTATAAGATAAAAAATTATTGTGAATTGGAATAGACTTCCAACTTGTTGGGGTTTATTTTAATTCATAGACAACAAGGGCTTATTTTCAAACTTCAACAATTAATATGGTAAAGGTGCCTACTAGCATCCTACAAACATGATCCCACAAACAAGCACATGGAGTTAGGGTGAAGAACAAGGCCTTAACTAGAAACACAGAAGGGAGTTCATGAGCTACTTAGGTTTTCCCATGGACTAGCAAACACACAATTCTCGTGGAGGACACTGGTACAACTACGAGCACTGGGCACTAATGGACGTTAAAATCATTCCAAAGGGATTTCTACTTTGGCAGAGAACATTCAAAGCTTAGATAACGGTCACCCAGAGACTCCAGGCCTCTCCACAATAAACATACATAGCCAAAATATGGCAACAACCCATTTTTGGAAACAGACGCATTATTGACGTGGAAGAGAAATTGTGGGGAGCGGACAAAAAAAACATAACTTTCTTACCTGAGCCAACCAAGGATGTACAACAGTGAAGGATCTCTGGTATGAGGAGACTAATGACTAGCTCAGTGAAAGCAAATTCCAACAATACATTGGCTCTAGCTCGATACCACTCTAGAGATACTAGATACTACCAAGCATACACTGGAAGCCCAACTTGAGTACAAAATTCAACCCAAGAAAATGGTGGTCAGCTGATATAGCGGGTGACATTGTGGAAGTATACCATTTCTAGAACATCAGTAAGGAAATAAGCTTCGAAAGTAAATATATAGCCACGTGAAGACCTCTGGCACCCTTGGATCTCTAGAAGTTAATATGTAGCCGCCTTTGATGACTCACACTAGCACAAGGGCTACCCATCGGAGAGTGGAGAATGATAATGAGACAGGATGGTTGATGCACTCTGCAATAATGGCAATATCAAATCTGCAGACCATGCATTCTGGAGCTGCCCCCACATCAAGATTATCTAGATCATATATAAAGTAGATGCGGCGCAAGGTGGCCAATGCCAGATGACGAGCTGGAATGACATTCTGTACAGTACTCTCAATCCGAAGAGAGAATAGGAGTTGAGTAAATTCACAGATATTGTGTCTGTTTATAAAGACACGCCCTGGTTGAAATTCAAAACTCTCCTCTAGAATACTTGGAGAGCCAAATGCAACCATGATTCTAACCGCATCAGACTGCACGTTGGAGCAATTTTATTTAGAGAATGGAAAACAACAATACAAGTGGGCCTAGAAGTATGGAAGGAGCTCCACAATACCTAAAAGACTTGCTGACCCTAATAAAGCAAGAAACACTTCTCTTAAGAACTTGGACGACATATAACGTCTTTGCAATTGGCTCCAAACCCGATTGGGAAATCCTCCCTCCAGCAGACTACCTACCACGAGATATGACGCTACTAGGAGAACTCTTTGCCACAATCCCAAGAGAAGTGAATATAGATGGACGCATAATACCGCCGAAGGAGGCACCATGTGCCCTCAACATCTCCGCACTACAACATCACCAACTTCCACCGAGAAGCTAGAATCGGGGAGAATAACCCCCCACTAACTAGGGAAATCATCTCAAACTTAATAGACAATGTATAGCTCCCGTCCTCGCCCCGCACGCCGAAATACGTCTCTCTGGGATAAAGAATAGATCGCCCTACCATTAACAACCCTCGGGAAGAAAGACTACGGGCAATAAGCCCCAAGAGTGTGCAACGGTTGGATGAAGAACTACGAGGGGAAATAGAAGCATTCTTTTGGGAAGTAGAAAGCCAACACATTTACCGCATACTAGAGGATGATTACAAATATGAAGCACAGGAAGGAACCTTACTAGCTCCACCAAGAAGAATCCTTTAGCAAGCTCTCAAGCGTATGCCAGACATTATCAAACCCAACCTTATCCAAATCCCACACTGCAAGTTTACATGACAATGGCAACTTCAGACATATCCAACCACGACCTCTTTTGTTTCTTAGACAACGATTTTGGCAGATGGTCAACGTGGGCTACCCAACTTAACAGCAATATAAGCAGGGAGCGGTATACAGCTTGACTAGGGGTTAGCCTAGAAGGGTCATCATAGCTTACGACTCAAGACCCTGTCTCCGTCCCAATGGCAGGGAACTGCCTTAGAAATTAGGATTACTCTAGCATTCTAAACCAGTGCGCCGGTCTCAACTAGCGCGATATGTGACGTACAATTTTTGGATTATTCAACTGTGATGAGGATTCCAGCTCAGTTGGTAGAGAGCAAGACTCTTAATCTTGTGGTCTAGAGTTTGGACCCTCAGGGTGGCAACTTCGTACACTGATTTTATAGAGTCTCAAATTTCGATTTTTTTGTCAAATGCAGTTTCTCACATGCTTTTAGCAGCAAGCTTTGTTCCTTGAAACTGCCTAGTCTGCAATGCTCACAAACTTTGCACCTACTACTAATCTGTACAATATTGCTTTTGCTGACAATTAGAGGCCAGGGCAAGCTACTCACTCTCTATAGCATAACTGAACTCTTACTCGGACGGCTTCAACCCAGGATTTCCATACTTGGATCAATCACAAGGCTGTCTCCGACGAATTTCACCCTGAAATTGATGCAGCTATGGAATTACAAGCTCAACTTGTCAATTGGAAGCAGCAATATTCTGAGTTATCTCCCACTAGAAAATTGTTTGCTATATCTCTTGAAAGGGATGAAGACTCTGTTAACTGAAAACCAATCTCATTTCTCACATAGCATACAAAGATACAATTCTTAAGCATTGCTTAGCACTTCCATTAACTAAGTTTGAATACACCTTGAAAATCACTGTAAACTAGTCAAGTTTTGTAAGGAATCATGAGTTCTAGTTCAATAAGTGTAGCTGAGTATATCATACATGTTTACATTACATTATACCATGTTTAATAGAATGAATATTCAGTATCACGTCATTACGTAGATACTGTGATTAGCAAAGTGATGTTGTAGTATGTTTCATTCACTTTGTTTCATTTAGAGTGAAGTTTTGTGTGCAAGAATACAATTTACTTGAAAGCTAAGTGCTTTGTTTGTTTTTTTTTTTTTTTTTCAAATAAAATGATATTGTATTTCAATATATTTTGTCCTTGTATAACATTAGATTACAATTTAATTTGATATAAATTTGATAATTAATCAAAATTTATGCTTATTATTCTTTTGTAATTTTTAATTCTTATAGTAAGAGTATGAAGTAGACAATGTCATAAGCAACACTATATATTTTGTATTTCTTATGTTTATGGCAATAATAAGTTGGAATTTAGAGTTTTAGTTGATTCTGGCGTCTCTACATTTGTATACAATACCAAAGTTAAGTCTTTTGGTATCTAAGCATCTATTATAATCAGCATCTACAATAGTAAGTGCTAAGTTTCATTTTCTAGAAAAAATATATCATATTGATTTTTATTAAATACTTTAGAGTTCTTCTTAGTACAATTAAATAGAATTTATAAAGAATGGTTGTAAATTTTCTTATACATTCTATTACATAAATAATGTCAATCCAATTAAATATTTATATAGATCAAATAACCAGCAAATGCTTGGTATGATTATTTGACAATAGATTTCTCTCCTATGTCAATTTTTAATTTATTATTTAAGTATATTGCAATCAATGTAAGTTTACATGTTTCTATATGAAATCTTAAAAATATTTATAGAATGTATCTTTTTTACCAAAACCAAATTCTTTACTTTGAGTATTCAATTTTATTTTAAAATTATATATATTTTTTTAATAACTTAGTCATTTCAAATGTATTGAGCAAAAGCCTAATAAAATGCATAATTTCTTAATTATTATTTTTAATCACTAAGAAGTCAATGATATATAAAAATACTATAGTATATTTTTTATTTTTTATTAAATAATACAAATTTGAAATAGCATTGATTTTATCAAGCTACAAGTTAATAAAAATAAATCTATTAAAAAAATATTGAGCTAAAGAAGCTTCTTTAAATCTACATAAAGCACATGTTAACTTAACCATAGTCACTTTACTTTCTTTTTTTATCAAATCCAAATAAGAGATAAAAATACATATATTCAAATAATAATCTATTTAAAAAAATTGTAATGGTATTAAGTTTGCACAGGTTCTATTTTTTTTTAAATTATGAAACTTAAAATAATTATAACTTTGTTCTAATACACAACATATGCAAATATATCAAATATTTTTTTTTCTTTCTATTTTTCTACATCATTAAGTAATAAATTTAGCCTTTTTTTAATAGATCTTTATTTTCTATCTTATTATATTCTAAATATCCATTTGGCATATATGCTTCTTTTTTTAAGAAGATCAATAGTAATTAAAGTTTAATTTTTTAACAAAAAATTCTTTGATTTTATAATTACTACCTATTTTGGATCCAATATTGCTTTCTTATACCTCAAAGGTTCTTTATCTATCTTAGTTATCATATGTGAGGATAAATTTTTCTTTCAACCCATATTACAAAATGGCTTTAATTAAGACTTGCTTGTAATGAAAGATGTGAAGTGGAAGATGTAATAAATAATAACAAGAAAAAAAAACAATACAAAATAAGTGAAATAAGTAAAATCAAATAATTATACACAATAAAAGTAGTCCACAATGTATTCATTGAATTTATATCTAATGAAGAATAAAAATATATATTTAAAAAAATATTTTTAGATAGATAATTTTATTATCTTTTTAATGATATAAGAAACATATAAATCCGAATTACTATAATTAAGTTATAAAATTTTAAAAATAGGAAGTAAATAATTAGAAAGTAAAGTAAAAATAATTTATCTCAAGAGTAACTTGCTTATAGAGTAAGGGTTCAAGCTACATTAAGGCTTATATATAATATATATGAGGTATTAAGAAAGGCCAATGGGCCTTGGTCATATCCTCCCAACTCTATTTAAGGTGCTACAATCCATATATGTCATAGATATATATCTACTATAATTGTCATCTAAATAATATAAATAAGTAAAAATAGATAAAAATAGATTAATTTCATAATACCTTTTGGAGAAGCTTTTTAGAAGCTTCTTAGATGCTATTTGACTTTATAAATATTTGTAGTTGATTGGTAAGTTAGAAACTTGGTCAACAAGCTAACGACATGCCACATGTGTTGGTAGCTTGCGGAACAAACTAACTATGTAGTGTCCATATAAAAAACTTACATTGCAAGTTAAAATACGTGTCATCCAAAGTCAACACGTTTTTAGAGGTCCTATAGAATATCGCCACATAGATCTTAGATAGATAGTATATATAGAGGCAAAAATGAAGCCTTCTTCATTCTTATCAATTCTTTTCTTGCTTCTAGTCTACTTTCAAGAGTCTCTAGTTTTTTCATATTTTGGTAATAGCTATTCTATTTTTTTTTAATATACATATTTTTCTATTTCTATTTGTTCATAGTTCTTTAAAAGAGCATTATTTGATTATTTTCTTTCATCAAGTTCTTGTCCTTAACAAATTGATAAGAGTACACTTATAATATTAAAGCTTTGTCTTTTCTTCATTAAAAGTGGATTACTCGTTTTTCTTGATAAGATTTAAGTATATTAGAAGTTACAAATTATTCTATTGTAAACTAATATTATTCTTGGTATTTTTTTTTATTTATTTATTTTCAAGTCTTCTGTTCTATTTGTCTTGAGCTATATCAAATATTTTTTTATTTTAAGTATTATTATGATAGAGCTTCTCAAAATGAAGAATTTTATGGCAAAAATACAAAAATAATTGAAGAAATTAATGCTTATGATGCATCAACTCAATTTATCGCCACAAGAAGCAAAGATATAGAGATGGTTGAAGTTGCTTCAACATCTGTACCAAATCATATCCCTTTTTTATGATAGAATACTCTTTCAATGTTAGAAAATCAAAGATTACATTATTTAAAAAGTTTGATGGTACAAGGTCTAAGTTTCAAGGATTTATTAATCAAGTACAACTTCAGATTAAACTTCAATTCCAAAGCTATCTAACCCTAGGATTACAAGTCAGATTTTGTGATATACTCATTTTAATTTTAGTTTTATTATGATTTTCATCATTTTTTGAATGACAAGTTCCAATATTAGATTATTTGAAGGTTTTTTTTGGTGGACTTTTAATCTATGTATGGAAAATATGATGCAATTTGTGTTGCAACCAATAAAATCTGTATTTTGCGATAAGATAATCAATCAATAATGTTATATATTTCATAATTTTAATAACTTGTAATTGACATCAAGTGGGATGATGTTGCACTTGTTAGTCAATTTTTCTATGGATTACAATATGAGATAAAAGAATTGATGCTAAATTTACTTAATCTTCAAATATTGAGTCAAGCAATTGATTTTGCTATAAGATGTAACAATTGATTTTTTAAATTTTGATCTCATAGTTGTACAAGCGTACCTCAACGCTATTATAATTCAATGACAATGCCAACATCTTTTCAACACATACATTTGAAAGTAAAGGATATACAAATTGATGCAATATATTTCAAATCTCTTACTAAGCAAAAAAAAACTCATCGTTGTTAGGAAGAATTATGCTTATATTATAGAAAATCTAAGCATATTACTCAATATTGTTCAAAGAAGTGATGCAACCATAAAATGATGAGCATGACCATCAAAGAAGATTTTATATTGGAAAACAAATTTGTCCAACTATAATAGAGATTGTGTAGCTAAAACCTTGTACAATAGCTAGTAAAGGTCCTATTCTCTTGTCAAAATCTTTTCTTTGTTTTATAATTAATATTATTTTAGGACCTAAACATTACAAAGCCTCTATCTTGTTAAATTCAAGAGCCTTAGCATATTTCTTAGATAAAGAATTTGCTAAAAGACATAGTATAGCTTTAGTGAAGAAAACTAAACTTGTTCATGTAGAAATCATAGATGGTCATTCATTGTCTTTAAGAAATATTACTCATGAAATCCTTCCTATAGAAGTAATAATTAATGGTCATATTAACTTTATAATATTTAATATCATTAGATCTATCTCTAATACAATCATTTTAGATTTATCATAGTTAAAAAAATATAATTCAAAAATAGATTAGATTTCTTATAGTCTTGACTTTTCTAAAAATATAACTAAAAGTATAATTGATCAAGTAAAAAG